TTCAAATGTGAAAAAAAAAAAAAAAAAAAAAAAAAAAAAAAAAAAAAAATAAACATTCTCAAGGTGCACAGCAATAGCTCAGATATATCTGATGCATGTAAAAGTGGAACGATACCATCAGTATCCAGACTTCTGCCCTTCCTCATGGTGCAGCTTGTCTCACAACAACCACACACCTGATCATCTCCGTTTACAGCAGTCCAGCTGTTAAAAACCACAAACAACCATTATTAAATGTTGAATGGAGACTGCTAAATGTGCTTCCAACATTACCCATACCCGTTTGTTTCTTTAACAAATGAGCAGGCCTTGTTCATCATATCAGTGGGACTGGAAGTGGTAGTAGCCTTCAAATGACAAGTGATGTAGATCTGGCCAGAAAAAAAAAAAATCAATACGGTAAATTCAGATTAACAGATGTCTGATCTGGATCAAGTGTAAATGGAGCAAACTTTACAATAAAGGCCCAGATATATTCATGGCAAAGTTCTTTTTCGTTCTTCACTTAGGGGTTTTAAATTCGAAATACCTGAGCAGCATTTTGTTAGCGTTAACATCCCGGTTAGATGAATACCTTGAGCGCTTTTAATAAACAACAAAATTACAGTGGTGAGAAAACAGCAATTAAGAAAGTATCTGACTACAGCTATGTGGATGTTTGCTCCAGCGCTGCACTCTAATAATGTCACGTTTAGTTCCGAATCACTTTATACAATAGATTGCTCTAAAGCAAACAGCTTTTTAGTAATAGGCATTGTCAGTGATGCTTTTAAATTAGAATTACAACTTCAGTTTTTACTATAAATCAGCTGTCCAGTGTGTTTTTACACGTGTCTGATCTTGACAGACTGAAAAGAAGAAATGGAGAAAATGTCCACAGCAAAGGTGGTGAAATGAACTCCAAACAAACATTTTGGCCTGATTTTGTTAGGAACCACAGCAGTTAGTTCTTCGATTACACTTGAAATACTCTGGGGGCTCTGGGGGAACGGACTCACCATTCCCAGGGAATCTTGCTTAAATCTGAACGCCTCAATCTGAAATTGTAACTTGTCATCCTGTATCCTGGACATGAACCTGGACCTGGAATTTGTCAGCTTGGCATCCATCATGCATCTAAAGATTTTAGTTAAGAGCATAAACCATCAATAGCAAAGCACTCAAAAGATCTGTCTGGAAGAGTGGCTCACCCGCTGTTCTTGATGAACGTGTACATGGTGGCAGCTTCCCCGCTGGGGCCCAAAGTAGCTGCGCAGCTTTCCACGAACACCCGCAGAGGAACGTGATTAGCACGCAGCACTGAGGCTTCCAGGTTTATGAAATCTCCCAGAAAGTAAGCGTTAGATGGTCGCTCATACCTCCAGTCATCTGTAGGACAGGTTAAGATCGTCAGATTAAGAATTCAAACCAAATAATGATAGAAGACTCCGTACCAGTCATGAGTTTGAGGGAGAAGTGTAACTGTTCTTCGCCAGCTTTCGCTGCAACATAGGGAATCCAGGTGGGATGCAACGCATTACTACTCACATTGTGTTTCCTAAAAGTTACAAGAAACCATGCACAGCACGTGGAGAAGCAAAGAGAGTACGACATCTTTTTAGTGCCATGGTAACTTCAAGAATATTCTTATAATGCTTTACTTAAAGGTGGGTATGCATTTTTTAAAAACGCTTTAGAAAACAGAGGCCCTGTCCACGCGAACGCGGTTATTTTTAAAACTGCAGCTTTTTCTACATGGTTTGGCTGTTCGTCCACACGCAAACGCAGTACCAGGTCACTGAAACCGAACGTTTTTGAAAACGCCTGCCAGGGTGAAGATTTTCAAAAACTCCGGTTGCAGTGTTATCGTGTAGTTTTTGGCTTGTGACGTCGGAGCCTGCGCTGTTATCGCCGCCTACTGGAAACTTTTTCAGGCTTCCGATTGGCCAACATGGCTTTACAGTTGAGATTATATCGCCACCTGTTGGTTTGGCATGCTCTTGATAGTGCTTCATATCATGCGTTTGCATGTGGATGGAGATTTTTTTTTTTCAGGCTTCTGATTGGCCAACATGGCTTTACGGTTGAGATTATATCGCCACCTGTTGGTTTGGCATGCTCTTGATAGTGCTTCATATCATGCGTTTGCATGTGGATGGAGATTTTTTTTTTTAAACGGAAGGAAAAACGGTTTATAAAAAATACCCATGTACGTGTGGACATGTCCTGAGTCAGGCCGAGTACCAAAACAAACTTGTAGCCAATCAGCAGTAAGGGGCATGTCTACTCATGTGGAGGAGAGAGCGATCAGTGCACGGGACGGACATTAGCCGAGCCGAGCGACAGAAAGATGGAAAAAGAGGAAACCATCTGCGGAACAAAAGAAGGCTTACAATATGGCAAGAAGTAGGACCAGTGTAAATATCGGATCAGCTTTCCAGCGCTGGAGCGAACTCAAGGGGCGGAAGGCCTGCGATCGGACGCCGAGGTTGCTTTGTTTCTTCTCGATAGGTGAGTAACACCGTGTCTACACCGGACGCGACAGTTCTCACGCCGCGCCAGCTAAAGTCTGTCTACACTGGACGCGACAAAGCAACCGTTGAAAATCATTTGAAATTTGTATCAATACATCATAAATAGAACGCAACAGCAGTTTTCTGTCGGGGATTTGTCGTGTCATGCCGCATCCAGTGTAGATCATAGATATGTACTGTATATATATCTATATATCTATCTATCTATCTCTCTATCTATATCTATCTATCTATATCTATCTATCTCTCTATCTATCTCTATCTATATCTATCTATCTATCTCTATATCTATATCTATCTATCTATCTATCTATATCTATATCTATATCTATCTCTCTATCTATCTATATCTATCTATATCTATCTATCTATATCTATATCTATCTATCTATCTATATCTATCTATCTATCTATCTATCTATATCTATCTATATC